ATATAATATTGGCTTAATATATATGTACGTGTCATTTACATTGGGATTCAACATTTCACTTGGTTCTGTTACTCAATGTCTCTGCTCGATCCTAATTTGCTGAATGTATTGTAGGTCGAAATATGTCAACGTAAGACACCAACAATTTAAGTTTTTTCATAAGCGACATTGGAAAGAGTACAGTCAATATTGGGAAATAAGAGGACTACTTTGGTCGTTGAAAGTGGAGAGTTCCGACCTTAACCATCCTTGACACAAAGAGTTAATCATTGCATTACATCGAGCTGCTATGAAAGCAGTGAAAGACCGATCTTGAAGGATGACCTTACCGTCATGGCATTTGCCGTGGCATCGTCCAACGTCAACTTCGGTTTCATATGGTGAGTTTGGATTAAAGACCTTGAGTACCGAGTGCCTTGAACATTTCCGGGGCGTTGCTTGACAGTGACAGTCCTCTATGACTTCATGTATCGTCGGCCCGCCGAGCAGGTGGAAACGCTCGACCCGCGTCCTACTTGGATAACACTTATGATGACGCGGACACGCTCTATGTGGCTGAAAAAGACGATGTTTCAAATGGACGTAATATTACGATCGTATTATTCATATTCAAGAATATGTATGTAGTCGAATGGCTCAAAATATTCATGACATGACTGAATCCATTATCACTAACTCAGGTGGCATGATTGAGAATATTATAAATTCGAAGAATGCATTTGTGGCATAATAGTATATTTGGGTCATAAATAAAGATATTTCCTTGCTTTATATTTATGATTTGGGATTGCCATACAACTACCCTCTTAATTTATTTAAGGTTTTCCATAATAGGAAAAGACTTTTGATACAGAGGGTATATCCATTTGAGATTATTATGACGTAAATATAATCATCTTTTGACATTGTCTATGGTTTTGAACTTTCCTGGCTTATTTGATTGACCGATGCATTAATACATGTAATAGACTCTGGCCTTTAAATTCCAAGGAGTTTTTCATGAAAACCATTTAAAAAACATCCCCCTTTGAGTGAATATAGAAATTGTATGCTTGAATTAAATACTATACTACTTTTTACCAACTGTAGTACAAAACAGCCGGATCAGAAAGCGATTTTTAAAATGGAAAACATTTCAATAACACATGCGTAACCAGTATACAACTCGATAAACTTTATCAAATGGAAGATGAATGATCTTGACCTACATTAGGAAGCAATGAGTTTGAACATTCGGAATTAGCACTAATAAAGCGAGAAAAACAAGATAAGACTATCTAGAGTAATTCTTTACGGACATTTAGAAGGATCATGAATACACTTGGTGTAATACGCTGAAGGTCAATCTAGGATAGAGAGAAAATATATATACTGTATACCTTTATCCCCCCCATTCCCCAATATCCCCATTGTTGATATACAGTAAAACCTAATCCGAATGCCATTTGAGACCGTCTAAAAGCGTCCAGATTAGGTGTTCACATTTCAAGGTTTTTGCATTTAGGGGATTCTGGATTTTGAAGAAATATGAACACATTTTCAATAAATACTTGTAGTTTATTGTCCACAATACACAAGCTTTATGGCAGTCTAATTAATTGACAATCTCACTGGTGATCCACTCGATTACGCTGGTTACCGAAACGGTTCGTTTCGGTACCAAAATGTCGGAACGTCGAAGGTACGACTTTTCTTTTTTCGTTATTTCACGCGTTGTAGGCAGAATCCCCACGACATTTTTTCACACAAGCGTGTAACAGTATCATATGTTTTAGAAAAGGTACATGTTTGCGAAAAGACAACAGAATCGTCGATTTAATTCCTCATTTAAGTTGCAGAAACGGTGGTATGGGTTAAACGTGCAGATCTTAACTGTTTTTCGAAATAGCGTTTACCGAGTGGATCACCAGTGAATCTAATCAAATGAGCTTATTAGAGACAGTATGATTTAGACCACTCAATGTTTTTTCCAAAAGTTTGGAAAGGATATCAATCGGTAAGTAATAGTAAATATTTGAGCAATTTTGTTCAACATGTGATACTTTATGAAAAGTGTTCAGATTAGACAGGTCAATATTTAGAATATGACTGTTCATTGTTCGAATTGGGAGGTGTTCTCACTTCAAAGTTCCTTGAACGTGGGACTCAAAGGACGGAAAACATGGGACCGAAAATAAGTGTTTAGATTGGGAGGTGTTCGGAGTTGCCAGGTGTTCGGATGACATTTTACTGTTCCATTAACTCCACCTGTCCCCATTATTTAGAGCTAGAAATATATAAAATCATGGCAGCGACTACATAGCTTATAGAAAATCTTATGTTTACACTGGTGATCCACTCGATTACGCTGGTTACCGAAACGGTTCGTTTTGGTAACAAAATGTCGGAACGTCGAGGGTACGATTTTTCTTTTTTCCTTATTTCACACGTTGTAGGCAGAATTCCCATGACATTTTTAAAACAAACGTGTATCAGTATCATATGTTTAAGAAAATGTACATATTTGCTAACAAATAGTTCAGAAGACAACAGAATCGTCGATTTAATTCCTCACTTAAGTTACATAAACGGTTTTTCGAAAAACAGTTAAGATCTGCACTTTTAACCCAAACCGTTTATGTAACTTAAGTGAGGAATTAAAACGACGATTCTGTTGTCTTCTGAGCTATTTGTTAGCAAATATGTACATTTTCTAAAACATATGATGCTGATATACGTCTGTGAGAAAAAACGTCGTTGGGATTCTGCCTACAACGCGTGGAATAAGGAAAAAAGAAAAATCGTACCTTCGACGTTCCGACATTTTGTTACCAAAACGAAACGTTTCGGTAACCAGCGTAATCGAGCGGATCACCAGTGGTTTAGAGACAAGCATCATCATGATACTGTACACTTGTACCCTATTTTAGATATATTTGAACAACGCCCAATCGATTTTCAAACATTCTTAAATCTGACGAAATGGTCCCGTTTCACTCAATGTTTACATTCAAAGATTCCTTATTCCGATTTGAGAAATATTTTTTCTACATCAGCGATCAAAATACCAGGCACTCAAATATGGAAGAAATTCCCATTTATCAAATTAATGAACAGATTTCAAATATCAGAACTTTCACAATGTGACCTTTCAAACTTTGGGTCAACAGATAATGCCCTGTGCTATCAAACGAGAGATGGAAGGTGATCATTATGTATGACCAGGGGGCCTGATATTCAATTAGACAGACGTAAATGGTCATTATTTCTTTGGGATCTGTCGCCACTCGCTGGGAACACGAAGTCCCCATTCGTCCTTGCTTTCAATGAGCGAAATAAGCCAACTAAACACGTATGTACAACCACTGAGCCCTGGGGATCGTGTTTCATTGAAAACCAGGTGCTTTAAATTCGCAAAATATTTAAGTTTGCATAAAACGTCAGAATGTTTGACATATTTATCCCTTCTCCTAATTGCAGATTCTAAATCCCACCCTATGCAGACAGAGCCTGTGGGAAATATTGGGTGCGGCGCAAATGAGCGGAGGGTGCGGAGCTAACGGTCATTTTTGAATTTAAAATTGGGATATTTCTGAAACTAAGCCGTTTTGGGACTTCAAATATACCAAGATATGTGTATTTGACACCAAATACCAATAAAATTGTGAAAATAGTAGTGCAATTCATTTAATAGCGACGCAGTATGCCTTAAACATTTCCCAGACCTATATATTTTGAGACTATCCTTTTAATACTGCGTCCACAGCATTCATAAAAAATGGTGTTCAAGATACACTACCCATGCAAATTATTTTTGCATCTTGGAAGCCAGGCAGTATCTGTGTGATTTTATAAAAATTCGGAAATGTTCTTCAGATATGAGCCCCCTCTAAATATTGGGTGCGGAGCTACGTTTATGGAGCTGCTCCGCACCCAATATTTAGAGGGGGCTCATACCTGAAAAACATTCCGAATTTTTATAAAATCACACAGATACTGCCTGGCTTCCAAGATGCAAAAATAATTTGTATAGATAGTGTACCTTGAACACCATTTTTTATGAATGCTGGGGACTCAGTATTAAAAGGATAATTTCAAAATATATAGGTCTGGGAAAGGTTTAAGGCACACTGCGTCGCTATAGAATGAATTGCGCTACTATTTTCACAATTGTATTGATATTTGGTGTCAAATACACATATCTTGGTATATTTGAAGCCCCAAAACGGCTTAGTTTCAGAAATATCCCAAATTTAAATTCAAAAATGACCGTTAGCTCCGCACCCTCCGCTCATTTGCTCCGCACCCAATATTTCCCACAGGCTCTGTCTGCATAGGGTGAATCCTGGAGCCAGAGATGATTTGATGCACGATATTATTGTACACAAAACTTACAAACATAATCCTTTCGTAAACACGAGCAAGTAATGATGTTTGAGTTGAGTTTATATTGAACCATGTTCTTGTAAATGTTAAACATGGAATATGAGATTTTGTTAGAATTCCCTTTTTGACTGATGTTGAAGTTAACAGAATGTACGACTATCACGCGCAACTGTTATATTTACCCGTAGCCGGTCTCTTTCATCGCCAAGTACTTGTGGCGTGTTGGTCCGACAGTCCTTCCGGCAGTGTCCTACGTCCACATGTACAGCCATTCGATCATCGTCTAAAGTTAACAGAAAGTAGCAATCAATCAAACTCAATCATGAAGATATGACGTAAGGTTGGTATTTAAAAAGGTCTCTAGGGATTTTGGTCCAACTTATATTGTATGTTCACAATGGCCCTGGTCACTTTGTTTATCAATTTTAAGGAAGACTATACACATCTTTATTTATCAAAGTATTCCATATGACTTGAGGTCGAAAGAATTAATATATTGGTAAAACGCATGCATATGACTAGTGCGTCAATTCTACACGAGAACATAATAATAATAGCTGATGCAGGAATGGACCAAACAATGGAATTCATTTCGTGGTCATTTTATCGATAATACTAAAACAACGGGATCCATTTTGTGGTTTAAGCAAACGTCTTTGGATGGCCTCGTATCCAACCATCTTATCCTTTATAACTGAACGATACATAAACTCCTTGACATTGTTTGAACTGCCATCTCTAAATTGAATGGCTGTAATTCGTGGTTTTTCTCATGAAAACCTTTCAAAATGCAATTGGATGTCTTACCATGACCTGCGACGATTTTCCGAGACTCTCTGAAGCAGCATGACTCTTGAAGGTCGTTTGTTGAGGTGGACGTTCTTGGTAAGTTCGTTGCGGACAGCGTTGATGAATCGCTATTGTCGATTGAACTTTCATGTGATGCTAACGTTGATTGAATGTCCCCATCAACGCTCAGCAACACTGGAATACTGGCTATACATACTGAAAACAAAAATTAAATTACATAATTGTTTTAGAATATTTTAATGAATAAATGTCGTATTAAACACATCGAAATTATTTCCCGCTTTTGTAATACCCATGTTTAATCCATTACTCCAGTTGATATAACGTCCAAAAATATCTTGCAGAAATTTGCTTTGCAATTATTGAAATTATTTGTTCACATATTTACAGGTGATTACTGACCTATTTGTTTCCATAGCAACGCCATATATACTATGTTTCTGTCGGCTCGCATTGTAGATGGCGGGTTACCCTTCTTGGTGTTTTATTACCTTTCTCGGTGGTGTGTATTTGTTCTTGGTGCTGAGTTTCATTTAACTCTTGGTGGTGTATTACCTTTCTTGCTCCCTCCGTTTACCTGGCGGTATTTGAAGTATGAATGATGGACGGGACTGGTAGAGTAAGCATGAAACAGGAATTGATAATTGGGCAGCTTTTATTCCTCGCCTAGACTCCTTGTCTAGACCCTTGCGAGATATATTTAATAGTTTTTGCTAATGATCCTTTATCTAAGGACCTAATCTGCCTCCACAGCCGACTAACCTCGCCACTCTAGCCAAATGTAAATAGTATTGGAGGCGGTGAATGTTCATATTTGATAGTTGGAATTAACGTTTTATTTTACTTGTGTTGATAATTCACGTGTGTTTTGTAGTTTGGGGAATGATGTGTGTATAGGCTGATAATGTTGTGAACTACTCCCAAGTACTATATAAGCTTACAGCATTTGTCCACATTGACCCGAGCTGACAGCCCGGTGGCAGCCTTTCACAGAGGGACGAAACGAGCACTCATCGGCGCCCAATATCCTGTCACCCTGCCATAAACAAGTTTTCCTCTCGTGCTGGCTCCAAATAATCTTAGACAAGTTACGACAATGTAAAATACATACTATTCCTGTTTCTCAATATTTTGGGACGGTTCTTTGCATTCTGCAACAAAAGTCAAATATTTGTCCGAAAATGTCTGAGACCGATGACGGAATCAAAAATTATAATTTAAAATATATCAAACTAAACTTTTGAAATATATTTTTGTTTATTTAACATTATATTTGTTATTATCATACTCTCATGTTGTTTCCTCCACCAAGAGACTCAATGGTCCGGCTTTAAACCAATCAATTCTTCTGAAGTGGAAATTTGAAGTTATCCTCGAGTATTTTCAACACTTCAGTTTCTGAACATCTTCAAGGACCCTCAACTTGCAACAAGAGTAAAACATTTATAAAAAAACACTGACAAATAGTCTTGGCTTTGAAGCAACATTAAACAATGTATTTGTAAATAGAAGTAGACACTATTTAAATTTTATTGATACAAATTTAAACTTTTGAGAAATAAACGAATAGAATAAAGTAAAAAAAACATCAAACATGAAATTAAGAAGGATACGACGTTTCAGTCTACGATTATTTCAATAACAGGACTTGTTGACAAAGTTCGTGTTATTTTGTACTGATCTATGGAGGAAGTCGAGACGGAAGACGATCATGCAAGGTTTCTTTCCCTTAATATGTCTCTTCGTGTTGTCGCTTCGTGTCACTTAATTTTCGCACTTCATAACAAAAGTGTTTCACAACATTTACTCCAACGCGTAGTGTCAGTATTATAACCAACCGAGATCTGAATGAAACATCGAGCCTCGTGAATAGTACATGAAAATCACTGCCATATATAGATTTATCCAACGTCCGACGCCATAATATCTTTCCACAAACATTTCTCTAGAGTGCTGTAAAACCATAGCTATACTCATTACATGATGAAAACACCAACTAGTTTCCATTGAACGGTAACATTAGGAGGTGAATCGAAGGCTATTAGTTACTTTCCATTGAATGGTAACATTTGAGAGATAAGGTGAAGGCTAATAGTTAGTTTCCATTTGATGGTAACATTTGAGAGATAAGGTGAAGACTAATAGTCAGTTTCCATTGGATGGTAACATTTGAGAGATAAGGTGAAGACTATTAGTCAGTTTCCATCGGATGGTATCATTTGAGAGATAAGGTGAAGGCTAATAGTCAGTTTCCATTGGATGGTAACATTTGGGAGATAAGGTGAAGGCCAAATAGTTAGTTTCCATTGGTTGGTAACATTTGGGAGATAAGGTGAAGCCTATTAGTCAGTTTCCATTGGATGGTAACATTTGGGAGATAAGGTGAAGACTAATAGTTAGTTTCAATTGGATGGTAACATTTGGGAGATACGGTGAATGCTAATAGTCAGTTTCCAGTGAATTGGTAGCATAGGGAGTGAGGTGGAGGCTAATAGTTAGTTTCCATTGGATGGTAACATTTGAGAGATAAGGTGAAGACTAATAGTCAGTTTCCATTGGATGGTAACATTTGGGAGATAAGGCAAAGACTAATAGTTAGTTTCCATTGGATGGTAACATTTGAGAGATAAGGTGAAGCCTATTAGTCAGTTTCCATTGGATGGTAACATTTGGGAGATAAGGTGAAGACTAATAGTTAGTTTCCATTTGATGGTAACATTTGAGAGATAAGGTGAAGACTAATAGTCAGTTTCCATTGGATGGTAACATTTGAGAGATAAGGTGAAGCCTATTAGTCAGTTTCCATTGGATGGTAACATTTGGGAGATAAGGTGAAGACTAATAGTTAGTTTCCATTTGATGGTAACATTTGGGAGATAAGGTGAAGCCTATTAGTCAGTTTCCATTGGATGGTAACATTTGGGAGATAAGGTGAAGACTAATAGTCAGTTTCCATTGGATGGTAACATTTGGGAGATAAGGTGAAGACTAATAGTCAGTTTCCATTGGATGGTAACATTTGGGAGATAAGGTGAAGACTAATAGTTAGTTTCCATTGGATGGTAACATTTGGGAGATAAGGTTAAGCCTATTAGTCAGTTTCCATTGGATGGTAACATTTGGGAGATAAGGTGAAGACTAATAGTCAGTTTCCATTGGATGGTAACATTTGGGAGATAAGGTGAAGACGAATAGTCAGTTTCCATTGGATGGTAACATTTGAGAGATAAGGTGAAGCCTATTAGTCAGTTTCCATTGGATGGTAACATTTTGGAGATAAGGTGAAGACTAATAGTTAGTTTCCATTGGATGGTAACATTTGGGAGATAAGGTGAACGCCAAATAGTTAGTTTCCATTGGATGGTAACATTTGGGAGATAAGGTGAAGACTAATAGTCAGTTTCCATTGGATGGTAACATTTGGGAGATAAGGTGAAGCCTATTAGTCAGTTTCCATTGGATGGTAACATTTGGGAGATAAGGTGAAGATTAAAAGTTAGTTTCCATTGGATGGTAACATTTGGGAGATAGGGTGAAGCCTATTAGTCAGTTTCCATTGGATGGTAACATTTGAGAGATAAGGTGAAGACTAATAGTTAGTTTCCATTGGATGGTAACATTTGGGAGATAAGGTGAAGCCTGTTAGTCAGTTTCCATTGGATGGTAACATTTGGGAGATAAGGTGAAGACTAATAGTCAGTTTCCATTAGATGGTAACATTTGAGAGATAAGGTGAAGACTAATAGTTAGTTTCCATTGGATGGTAACATTTGGGAGATAAGGTGAAGGCCAAATAGTTAGTTTCCATTGGATGGTAACATTTGGGAGATAAGGTGAAGACTAATAATAGTCAGTTTCCATTGGATGGTAACATTTGGATTGAGGTGGAGGCTAATGGACAGTTTCCATTGAATTGTAACACTGGGAGATAAGGTGAATGCTAATAGTCAGTTTCCATTGAATTGGTAGCATAGGGAGTGAGGTGGAGGCTAATGGTCAATTTTCATTTCATTTCATTGAATTCACGGATATTACTTAGTCAGTTTCCATTGATTGATTACTTTAGAGATGAGGCTAGGGCTATAAGCCAGTTTCCTATCAACTAAAAATCGTGCACAAATCCGACATATTTCTGTTTTGCAACGAGCAATGTGACTTTGGGAAGAAATTTTGTAGAAGCCCGAGATACTGACAGGGTGATCCAAAAAATGGGACACTAGTATTTCAAATAAAACATTGATTATATTGATGAAAACATGTCATGTTATATACCAGTGGATAGGGAATTTAATTAGCTTTAATTTGGTATATCACAAGTTCAAAGTTATTATAATATATGTCAACCAGCGTCCATAATACAAATGACGTCATTTTTGATTCAAAACGGGTTTTCAAAAACTTGCAAAAACCAAGTTTTTTTTGTGAACAGAAACAGATGTTCAATATTCGTCCATTTTGATCAAATTCCACTTCTCAACAATGCTCTCCTTAGGGACTAAATATATTTAAGGAGTTCATGATTTTTGTTGGTTCTCCCCATACGTGGTAGTCACAGATGTTGGCATCGGGTGATCTTGGGGGGCAGTGATTAGGGGGGGATGAATCGAGGCACATTCTCCTTGAAATATTTGACTGTCTTTTGGGATCTATGGCTTGGAGCCCCATCCTTTTGGAAAGTGTAATGCAATGCATGTGTAGGACATATTAAATGATTGATTGATCCCGCTTAACCACTGCCCCCCCCCCCCATATCACCCGATGCCAACATCTGCGACTACTAAGTATGTGAAGGACTAACAGAGTTGGTGTACCGTGAACCCCTTACATCTATTCAGTAAATAATTGTTGAGAAGTGGAATTCATTGTTCCAAACGAATATCAATGAATGATGCCAAGATTGAGGGCTATAATTGATCAAAATGGTGGGACGTGTCGCAAAAAGGTGGCGCATTTGTTTTTTAAGGGTATCCCGTGAATGTAACTTTGATTTCCCGGATTATATATAGATTATCCTATATGAGGTTCAGGATATTGGGATTATCCCGAGGCTAATATAATATATTTGCCCGAGGGCCGCAGGTCCCGAGGGAAAATATATTATATTGGCCAAGGGATAATCCCAATATCCTGAACCGACTGTGGGATAATATGTTTATCCCATACCAATCTTGGTCATCTGGTTCACATTGTTCAATCG